TACTGACATTTCCAACTCAACAGAAACTATTCCAAGTTCCACAGAACCCATTCAAATTTCAACGGAAACTATTGTTCAGAATACAACGAGTTCTGACAATAATTCTGGAAATGGAGCGTCGAATGTTTTTTCGAGCATAATCCCAAAAGTTACACTATTGGCAATCATTGTTAATGCAATCGTCTTGTAGTACAAATATTCATGCCGAATATATTTCAATTTTATTATAATCTTTCAGTTTAACAAGGGAAAAAATAAATATTCAATACTTTCAAAAGTTCTTACCAAGAAAATGATTGTTTTCCATTTTGAAACCAAAATTTCGGATAAGTTATTGCAATATCTCTGACCGTATTTATTTGTTTGTCGTCAGAAAATGTTACGACGTGATTATTCCATTGTTTCGTGCGATTTAAGATTAAAAGGAATTGTGCATCATTGTTCCTAAAACAATGAAATCTTTTCTAACCATCTTCATTTTGTGCACCTTAAATCATTGGCGTTTACCGTGGAAAATGACAGAAGATTGGAAAATAAATTAGTTGCTATGCTCATTATCTCGCATTTGAACAGGTCAGATTTCAAGTGAAATAACATTGTTCGTGATCTTACCGTTGCTTGTGTATAAAGCAAGTAACACAACCATTGTTCGTAATATGTGTTGCCGACTACGGTTAATCAGCAAGAATAATTAGTTGGTCTTTTGAATCCAATTTGTGTAAAAAAAAAATGAAGTTTGAAATTTTCATTATATCCTGTTGCTTTGTTGTACGTCATTGTATCTCTTTGGTAGAGGATATTCGGTTTGTGATGCCAGAAGAGCTGAACTTTACAGAATTGTTAAACCTTAGTTTAGCGAGTGATCATGGTAATCAATCATTGTATAAGGAAAAATATGGTGATTTACCGGTCGACTTACACTTTACTATGGATAATAATCGGAGAATATTAAAATGGAACAACAAGTTGGTCGTTGGAAGTAGCATAGCCGAGCAATTTCTGATGACTTTTGGCCAGTCAATCAAAAAATTATCAATTTCATTAGTTGTTGCTCCGGACGGTGAGCTTAACAAATTCGGAAAACTTGTTAGTGACTGTTGTTCTGAAACCTTGATTGAATTTAAATGTGCACTCAGAATACAAGATGCATTTGGAGAGACCAGAATTCCATTCAAAAAAGTCAGAAGTGTTGGCATTTATGGCGTACAAAAGTGGAGCCGAAATTCACTCAAATTTCCTAAGTTGTTTCCCGAAATTCGTTGTTTGAATTTAAGTGGTGTAAATATCGATATTTTTAACTATCAATATCAACATTTAAGAGAATTGAACGCTGATGTACCCACCTCTGATGAGTTTACTATGTTGGTGAAACAAAATCCACAAATCGAAACATTGACACTCGCTTCTACAACTATAGAATTCCTTCATATGGTTAATGAGAAGCTGCCTCGGTTGACAACACTTGCTTTCAATATTCCAAAGAATTTATCATCATCGAATCCAATTTACTTTGAACACGTCAAAGATGTTTCAATAGAAGATCGAAAATCACACTTTAAACCAGATAAACTATTTTTCAAGCAGCTGCATCGACTTCAATTGTTGACATATGGTCGCATCGAAGATGAATGGGTTGAATTCATGGGAAATAACAAGGATTTACAAATACTCGTTGTATCATTGGGATATTTCAACGATGCGACACTTTCCAAACTGTCAACAAAGCTCAATAATTTAACTACGGCAGATATTCGGTGCTCTGTGTCGGTTGATATTGAAAATATTACGAAATTTCTCGAAAGTAATGGACGATTGGAAAAAGTGATTTTGACACCAAGCCCGGTTGGGAATATATCGTTTTTCAAAACATTGAGTGAAAGACTGCATAAACAGTGGATCGTAGCTTCTATGAACGCGGATTATTCCGTTTTGAATATAACTAGATCGACACCATCTTCTGAAATTATCGATTCGGTTAACGATATTCAAGAGAGTTCCACTGAAGCATCATCAACCACGGAAAAGATCACTGAAACTGTTTTGGGAAATAGCACTGAAACTGCTTCGGGAAATGGAGCGTCGACAATATCATTGAGCACGTCTTCAGCGTTTGCATTCTCTATGATTGCACTATCAGTAGTTGCTTATTTTATCAACGAACTACAAATTTTATGCTGAATCTTGTTTTTCTGAACTTGAACTTAAACTTAACAACGAGTTTCTTATGTTTTTTTCCTGAATTTTCAATCTTTACGTGAATAAACCGATTATATGATCAATTCAATGATTATTGAACAGCACACTCGAAACTTTTCTCTATCAACTCTCACTCTGAATTTAAATCTCAACAATATCTTTGATTACCTTAATCAATTTCGAACTTACGGTGAAAATGACTGAATAATTACTACGTTGCCATATGCTTTATCACATGTCTGCACATGTAAATTATCATAAGGTGAAACTTTACTACACGATATGCCGACATTGAGATTAAAACAAGACCGTCTCTGTGCAAAATCAATTAGTTCATGTTTGGATGCCGATCTTGACTAAGCCGCAGAGGTTGGTTGCACATAAATTTATTTATATAAATTTCAAATATCAAATAAATTTATCCGATATTTTTCATGCGTTGTGTTGTTCTAAGGCATTTGCCAGCTATTGATCGCTGGAATGAGATTTTCGTTTTGTTCATTTACCGTTATTTCTCAACAATTCTGCCACTGTGTCACTAAATAGTATATTTAGTCCATAAGAAATGTGCAGAGATGAAAATGTGCGCCATTTAGTTTTACATTGCCGATACATTAGTTATAGAGATTTTTGTTTTGTTTATTTTTTGTCGTTTATAAACAAATCTTTTTGCATTGCCACTGTACGTAGTATATGTCCCTAAGAAATGTGTAGAGAAAATGCAAAAAGACATGCAGATTTGTTTACAAACGACAAAAAATAAACAAAACAAAAATCTCCATAACTAATGTATTGGCAATGTAAAAATAAATGGCGAAAATTTTCGTCTCTGCACATTTTTTATGGACTATATGACACAGTGGCAGACTTGTTTACAAATATCGGTAAATGAATAAATCAAAAATCTCATTCCTGCGATGAATAGCTGGCTGCCAATACAACGGCCGATGTCTCGTTTATGTACTGCAAATGCGTCAGAACAACACAACGCATGAAAAATATCGGATAAATTTATTTGATATTTGAAATTTATATAAATAAATTTATCTGCAACCAACCTCTGCTAAGCCGAATTATAATTAAAATGAAGATAGTAATTTTCGTCATTTTGTTCTGTTTGATTGTGAATTATTGCATTTGCTTGAAAGACAACACACCGAGTGTGGATAGACGATTGGATAAGATTAAAAAGTTGGAACTTTCCGAGCTGTTGTATGTTGCCTTATCAAGTGTAAAGTATATACACTGAAATATGGATATTTTCTAGTCAAAATCGATTTTGACAAAGATGCCGATAAAATACAAAAATGGCATAATGAATTATACATTGGTATTGATATAGCCGAGAAATTCTTGATGGCCTTTCGGAGATCGATTAAAAAACTATCAATAGTAAAACTATACGATTCCATTCCGGAGCGTAGACTCAGAGAAATCAACAAATTGGTTAATGATCCCTGTGCCGAGACGTTGATTGAAATCCATGTGAAATATAAAAGAAATGAAGATGCGACCGATTGCATGAAAAAATCATTTGGAAAGGTTGAAGACGTTGCAATTCAAGGTGTATGACAGTTGGGTAAAAATTGGTTGGAGATCCATGAATTGTTTCCGAAAATGCATCGTTTGAATTTGACTGACGTTGATATAAGCATTTTTAACCGCACATATCCACATCTAGTAGAAGTGAATGCTAATGTCCCACCATCTGTCGATTTTAACAAATTTATTGAAAATAATCCGCAAATCGAAACTTTGCGAGTGAAATTAACATCTATGGAATTGAATATAACTAGATCGCTGTTTTTTCTATGTCGAATTCAGTTTTTGCAGTTTTATTCCTGTGAAATTTGTTGATTCGTTACGCATAGATTTACTCAAAGTTATAAGTTTATGTTATTTTAATGCAATAAACGAATTGAAACAGATAACATCTGTCATTAGGGTGCGTTAAAGGTATAATCTTTTGTAAGAATGTACTTTACATATATCACGATGCGACTCTAGAGGCAAAACCATTGTTATAACTTATAAGTAACGAACGATTAAATCATATTTTCCGAACGAACGCTTAAACAAACATTGAATTTTAATCAAATGGAAAAATGAACGAACATATTTTTTCGTAGTCGCCGTTATCTCATCATTTAATCAAAAAAAGTATGCGACCACACTTGACTTCATTTCTCTTGTGAAATTTGATGGATGATTCATACTTTGGATGATGAAATTCTAAGTAGAAAAAATATGGCACGGTTTTCACAGGAAACATTTCGAATAATATATTGATTGTTTTCGACATTTTTTTTTAATTTGAAAAATTTAGACCTGACATAGTGATAATTAGCCTTAGCAGTAAAGTTTTGGAACTTTTTTTTACGTCTATGTTTCTTTTTAAAATTAGAGCGACATCAATCGCTAGCAACATGAATTTTCACAAAATGATTATTATCCGAATGAAGTTTATTTTTGTGCTGATTCATGGATCGAATATCAGTATGACTTAGAAGTGCGTCTGTCCATAAGTATATTGAATTTTGTTTTTAAAAATTATTTGGTTTGATTGAGCTACATACATGCTGACAATATAGATAACAATCGCAAAAATTTCCCGAAAAAATTGGTCATTCAAACAGACGATTGCTCTTTTGTTGTCCATATCAGACGAGAAACTGTTCGACTTGAACCATTATCAAATTTTACCAAGTGTTTTTTTTTATTTTGTCCTTTTACTCTTTTCCTCATTTCGTATGTTGTAAATACAATTAAATGTGTCTCTATACAATGCATACATCACGCATTAGGATACGACAATCAAAGGGAAATCATGGCGAAGTTTAGATTTAACGTTACACTCTCACGGTCATCATAATCAGTTAGGTCATGTGACGGCGCATGGTGCAAATGTGACGGCGCATGGTGCATCCCATGCAAATCACACAATGGGACACACCGTGCAACCATACGCGAATCCCATTTATCAGCGGCACGATTTTCAAAATCGTAGATCTGCCTCCGAACCAGCACACGAACTTCAAGCCGCTAACCGGTTGGCTAGCACCGTCTCCACCGAACAACCAACAAATAATCCAAACAATTCAAACGAACCGAATCATCAGCACGGTGATGATTGTAATTATGTCGATTGTCTGCAAAAAATTACAACAGCCAAAGTAAGATGTTTGCCAAGACGCAAAACACAAAAACTCAATTCGATACACCCACACATACACACATACCCAAAACACAAAAGTGACATGTTGAACGGCTTCATGATCAAATCAATATTGGTCTTCGGAAGCTTTTCACCACTCACAAACATAACACAATACAACACATTTATGCATATGGTTTATCTCTGAATAAACAAATGGCATTTTCGAGTGTTTATTTCTTTTGTCTGTAAATTTATTATTATTTTCTCTGTCATTTTGAATAAAACAACCACCATGACATCATTTTGCCATTTTCATGGGACCGCTTATACAGATTGGTTTTTTTTAAATCTATGTCTGTTCTTCTCTCTCTCTGTCACTCATCTAAACTACAAAAAATCTGCTCTCTTTTCTGTCGATCCTATGATTTTCTCCCATCATTTTCGTTTTCATTTTGTCTATTCGTCGCCCCTAATTTTCTGTTACATCTGCTCATTGGTTCGTGTTCGCCTGAATTGGCACATACTGCTAAATTTTTGTCATCATTGTTGTTGTTGTCGTTGTTCGTGACCCAATTCGGAAAAAGTAAATATTTTCTGTGTGATCACCCTTTTCTATCGACACCTTTTGATTTAGGGATTTTTATCTGCACATTTTCCTCGAAAGAAATCTGTTCAAATCGTAGATTCTAAGCTACTATTTTTCTTTATGTTTGTTCGTCTTAACCGTTTTTCTAAAACTGTAATATTTTTAAGTGATTTTTGTGATTGTTTTTTTTTTCTTCTTCAAATTAGTAAAACAACAATCTATATGTTTTTCGTTTGATTCGTATTCAATTCTGAATGATTGCATGGTTTTCATTGTATTTTTCAAATTCAATTTAGGAATGATAATTAAAATGACTTTTTTCGTACATATCAATGAAATAGCATGTAAGACTAACTCTAACTGTCAAAATTTTATCTGTTTAATTTATTGAAAACTGTGACATCTTTTATATGGAAACAATTTTCAAACTTTTTCTGATATATTCCATGGACAATGTAGGAACGAGGTTCACGATCTTCAGTGTCAAACGAATCGAATGTTTTGTTGGATCCAGAGGTTATTCCAGATCTATCAACTCAAGCATTGGTGTTGACTGTACTCGCCACTCTTGTCAAATACACATCCAATGAGAATGAAACCAGAGTTTTGTATCAGTACTTGGCCGAAGGTTCCGTTGTATTTCCGCGCGTATTTCCAGTCATGTAAGTGACTTACGTTTGACAATGTAAATTTGTTGCGTGAGAATTTGTATTTGAATAATTGAGTTGAATAATTCAACTTGAATTGTAGAAAAGTAGTATTGATTTATTGATTTTCCTATAACTTTCTGATTCCAATAGTCATTCGCTGCTTGATCAAAAGATCAACAATGTGCTATCCATATCGAATGACCAGGCTATTTTGAAAGCGATCCAGAGCATTATCCAAAATATGCTAGCCACAGAAGATCCATCACAACAACAATTGCACTTCCTACAGAGTTGCGGATTTGGTGGCCTGTGGCGATTCGCTGGTCCATTCACAAAGACAAGCGTAAATACTTTTTTCTCGATTGACTATGAATTTTGATTTTCCTTCGGCAATTTTAACTCTAATTTAATCAAAATATCTGTTTATTCTTTTTTTACAGTACAATTTGATGGGCGAGTCATCGGAACTGTTTGTCAATTGCCTGGAAGCAATGGTCGAGACTTGTTTACCTATAGAGGATTCGACTGGAGCACACGTTGTACCAAGAACACACAATTTGAGCTGCAGTTTGAGCAGTTTAACACTGAATTCACCAACTGATAAAGGTACCCGCTAATTTTCGACCTAAGTTCGATCAGTTTTTGTCTAAAAGACATAATTGTTGTGCAGAAACTAACAACGAATGAAATGAAACAAGATAGTATGAATGAAGTTAAACAAGAAAGCAATATTATTCTTTGGCTTCACTTTATTAGAATCATAATTTTGTTTTTCATTACATATATTAGTCGATGAAACATTTATATGAATTCACCACATCACTAATTGAACTTATTATCATTTTTTAATACTAATTCATTCGAAGATGTGGTTAGTCTGTGAATCGTTTAAGGCGAATAAAATCAACGATAGAATCGTGATCGTTGCATAGTCCGACGGAAGTGATTATGTCATTCATGTAAAGTACATTCATACTGTTGTGAGATGGGCTGCCGGGAAGTAACGGGCGTGATCTGCCTTGACAATTGATATGTTCAAATATTCGAAAACATCTATTCAGAGTGTTGACCGAATTGGCTGTATCATTTTCATCCAAGTTTAAACATCGTTTTCCATACATCGAATAAAATTTGCAATTGCCTTCGAAATTCTCTTTATCACACACTATCACACCATTGTCATTATCGATGCTGGGGCAACAAATGTTCCCATGTTTTTTATCAAAATGATCACAATGCTCGGCTTCATAACAATTCAAACCAACGTCACCTTGTACAAGTGATGCGAACACAAGTAAATTTATTGCAATATTTTGCATCATCTTGAATGCCTTTGAATTCTTATTGACAAAATGATAACGTTCTATTCCGTTAAATGATTGAACAATGACTGTATGTGTTTCCGTGCCTCTCCTCGTATATATACATTATTCCAGCCTTGACACATGACCTCAGTGATAAGCAGAATCAGTGTAATTTTATAGTGCAAGTTCAATTATCACCATTGAAATTAGACGCAAATTACGTTATTACAATGAACATATACGTAATATGGCATCTACGTAGGAGATGTGTTTTGTGGGCTAAATCTTGACAAAACGATGACGTGATGAATTCGTTTCCTTATTCCATGATTATTGATATTAAATTGATTTCCTTGTACTTGAGTGAATATGAGGAAGTGCGTTTTTTGTTTGGAATCTCCAACCAAATTGGATTTTTTCAGATTTTACAACGTAATATGCGACTAAGACGAGAACTATTGAACATTTTTTTCTCTCAACCTTGCTTTCAATTAAACGGTTTTTTTAAACAAAGAACAACATAAAATCGCTGAACACAAAATTGAAATTGACTTTTTTTCAACAATATTTTTCTTCTTTTGCAGCCTTTTCAACGGAATCACTTGACGGTCACGAGGGTTTTCGAGGGAGTATGAGTTCTTTGCGACGCGGATCATGTGGTAAACCCCGATCCGCCTCGGCCAAACATCGATTGAGCGAAAGTCCAATGAAGTAAATGAAACGCACACTGAATGTCACAGAGACCAAAATGTTTTCTTTTCTTTTTTAACTGAACCGTATAAAATGGGACGAAGAACGATTTATGAATTAGATGAACGAATATTACGAGTTGCTTATATTAGCTGTTCGTATTACGATCTATGTAGCTTATGTGTTGTCCACAAAATGAATCAAAAACTATGAATTATCTATCTCAAACTTTTATTATTCTAGTGTTAGGCGAATGAGAGGAACAACGGTAAATGTCCAATGTACAACTAATTAAAATCAACTTTACATTATTGTAAAATGTATTTATTGAATGTGTGTCATTTAATCAAATATTTAGATTTATTTCTAACGAAAAATTATAACAATAAAAATTCGTATTAAACGAATTTAGAGAAATTGCTGCTAAAATTTTACCCAGATTTAGGATCATTCATCCATTTTTTGTGTTGTAAACAACAACTTACAATGTTCGCTGTAATGTAGCAACTGCACGTTCTGAATTTTTTTTTTTTTTTTCACATTATACTTTAAAAGATTTTAATCTCACTTCGTTGTATTTGTAAGCGAAATGATCTAACCCAACTAAAAGAAGAACAACAACTAATTTTTAAACACATATTACAAAAATTATTATTAATGAAAATGGGATATATTTTATATAAATGTTGTTTATTGCCATTAACTCAAAACAAAATGTATTTTATGGAAAGTGACAAAAGAGGCAGATTATTAATAAAATTCATTTATTCACACATCTATACAAATGAATTGTGTTTCAATCAATTTCACTCTCAGAATTCAAAGGAGGCAAACTAAAAAACATATAGTGTAAAACATCAAATTACCCACTCTGTTTTCGCCATTGTAGGCAAAATTTCAGTTTACCTCCATTGTATTAAAATAGTCGGCGGAATGTCATTTTACCTACATTGTTAATACAGTGGAACAATATTCCACCAACAATATAGGTAAAATGACATTCCGCCAACAATTTTAATACAATGGAGGTAAACTGACATTTTGCCTACAAAAAAACACATTGGGTAATTTGATGTTTTACACTACATGTTTTTTTAGTTTGCCTCCTTTGAATTCTGAGAGCACGCGTTTCAAGGGATATCTTTTGTTTTTTTTTTTGGTTCATGGCATATGAAAATATGCTAAAATTAAAAGATTTTTTTTCGTATTTTGTAACAAAGTGATTATCTTCTCTGATTCGTGGAAAGACTTCGTGCATCCACTTCAAGAAATTTGGAATTTCAAATTCCTATGTGTTGAACTGAATTAATCTTGATTCAAATTTAAGCAAACAATTGCGAGCAAACGTGAAATAATTATTGTTTGCAACCAACTCACTTCGATATCAAAGTACATACATTTGAAATTCTATAAAATTTTCGATGCAATCAATATTTCAAAGTGTCTGACTTTGGAACCTCAACACGCAATCTATATGATAAGACAAAAGATCATACAAATGATAATTGAAATAAAACAACAGGTTTTGCTAACGAAGTCACTTCGTATCTATCTCGTCTTTTGTAAAGTTGTTTTTTATGTTTTGTCGTCTCCAAAAATGAATTTTGGAATTCTTTTTATATTTGTTTGCATAATCATTCAATATTGTGTTTGTTTGGATCGATCTATAGCAAGTAATACAAGGAATGCTCTGAATATTTCCGGCAGCAGTGTTGACGACATGAATTTAATTGCTCTTCTGAATCAAGGTCGAAAATTTAAAAGCAAAACAAGTGAAATTTTCATGCGGATGTATGGAGAAAAACCAGTTGAAATTACGGACATTTCAACACCTATGGTTTGGAATAACCGATTGCTCATCGATCATTCGTTAGCTGAGAGATTCCTGAGCGTGTTTGGGGATTTAATTAAGAGCCTGGCAATTAAATATGTGTCCATTCCGGTGTTCAGGCATAAAGAAATCGGTAATTTTGTCAATTTTTATTGTTCCGAAACGTTGCTGGAATTCGAAGTGAACGACTGTAGCGAAGGAGCCTTTGACGGCATGCAAACACCATTCAAAAAGGTTGAGAGTGTAATTTTCAATGGAGTATGGGAGAAATTAAGTAACAAATCACTCGGTTCTAATCAACTATTCCCTGAGATGCGCTATTTGACATTGGTTTATTCAAATGGATACATCTTAGACGAAAACTACCCGAAGTTAATCGAATTAAACCTCAATGCACCTAATTCCAACTTATTGAGGCTCCTCCAATCCAATCCACAGATTCAGAAAATGACAGTAAGAGATTGTTCAACCAATTTTCTTAAAATGTTGAATGACAAACTACCAAAATTGGAATTCATTTCATTTGATGTACCATACGATTTGGATCAATACAACGGCACGCTGATTAAGTTCGATAGCGTTAAGTATGCCTCTATTTATGATTTAAGTGGAAGTTTTAAAAGCGATAAATTCCATTTTAAGAATTTGGAAAATTTTGAACTTTTGGTCGAAGAAGATGTTAACAGCGAATGGGCTTTGTTTATGGCAAGTCTCAGCGGCCAAAAGTCTCTTATAATATCAATATCGAATTTTACCGAAAATGTTCTACCAAATTTGCCTCTACATCTTAACAGTTCGATTGAAGTGAGATTGGGCTGTAATCTCATTGAAATCGAACCTTTGGCCAATTTTCTGAATAGTAACAAGGAATTGAAAACACTCGTTCTGAAATGTTCCAAAAATTCACAATCATTCTTCAAGGATTTGGATTATCGGCTAGATGATGAATGGAAAATGGTTCCAGTTAACAACAGCAAACGAAGTTCCATTTTAACCACAATGGACATAGCTCAAGATCAAAAGGAGGTAACTACCGACCAAGGACAAGAGGTGCAGACAGTTACTGAGCCACTTTTCAATAGTACCGAAAATGCAATTAACAATACAACTGAGCCATCGAAGGGGACAAACATTGCGACATCATTTCCAATTGAAATGTCAATTTTCACATTAGTAGCTGCCATAATGAACACAATTTTCTAAATTAGGTATTTTTTAAAAAATTAATTTAGTTCTTTATTTACAAGATGGATTTTGATTCAAACATAACTGTGCGTAACGAAACTGTGTTCACACCATTGGTTTTAACATGTTTAAATTAATGACTATTCAATAAAAAGTGTATTCTGTAAATCTGATCCTGACTACTGATAAACTCAAACATAAATTTGATGTAAATAAAAACAAAAAATGTCCAAAATTGAGGCTGTGGGAATGAAAATGGCAATACAGGATTAAACATTCTGAAGCGCATCAAGAAAAAAAAATTCGCAAAAGTGAATCATGAGTTCTGAATACGCAAAAGTGAACCATGAACCTCCTATGCTGCCCATGTAAATTCATGTTTCACTTTTGCATAATCAGAACTCATGATTTATTTTTGCGATTTTTTTTTCTTGATGCGTTTCAGAATGTTTGTTCCTGTATTGCCATTTTCATTCTCACAGCCTCAATTGTGGAACAAAACATTTTCATTCACTCAACAACAGTTGACTATCGCTCTGGATTAACCCAACGACTTTTGTTATGCGGATTTTGTTTTTATCAAGATCGACCGGTTCTTCGAGCTTATCATGTAAAATTATTAATGGGAATCCCTAACTGATTAATCTTCTCAGTGGCAACATGTAAATATGAATAGTTGTTTATGTATTTGAACAGGAAATTATTGAAGACGATAAAGTTTTAACTGAAAAATTCTCATATAAAATGAGTGATAAGTTCAATTGATTTCAGTTCATTGAAGGCGTTCAAGTCAAGTAACGGTTTAAAATCATCTTTGCTGAGGAGTATCTTTATTGAATCAAAACACTAGTAAATTCAGTTGACAAGATGTCATTTCAACCGAATGTCGTTTTTGCTTTAGTCGTGCTAGCAGCATTTTGTGTTTCATACAGTGTTGTGGTTGCAAAGCCAAACGCAAATTCGGTTCAAGACTTGGAGATGTTTGAAGCCGGGCTGAACAGAACGAAGCGTCAATTGGGCGATGCAGGCATCGGTGTTGGAGTTGATTGGGTAACCAAATCAATCACGAATGCATTTGAGTGCAGCGAGAAAGCTGGTTGTCAGAAGGGCCATTGTTGGGCATGGTGCGGTGTCAGCCTGACTGGTGGCGAATGGTGCTACACAACTCGATCATATTCACAAAGTTTCCAATATGTCACATGTAACCAAGATTCTGACTGTGATAAATGCTGGAAATGCGCTGGATCGTGCACACTTTAAATGCGGACGCCGAAAACATAAAGTTACGAAAAAGTTTCATAAGTTTTCATTCGAAAATTTAATGTTGTCCGAATTTCTATGTATCAATAAATTAGACTGTGTCTGTGTGAATGCTTTTAATTTTGTTGAATAAAGGAAAAATTGATTGAAAATTAAATCTATGCTTTTATCTATAAAAAAATTATGTTTTTTCAGCCTTGAGTTTCACAATTATATTTCTACTATTGGCTTTGGTGCTAGGTTGCTCCGCGACTCGACAAAATCGAATGTTCATCTGTCTGTATCATCATTAAATCGACAAATTATAAATCTTTCCAACAATAATTGCTAAACATGTAATAACTAACATTCAGCTGAGTCCCTAGTTTACAAACCAATTCAACTTTTGAGGCGAAAGGAATCAAACATATAACAGAGCAAATAACAAAGAAAGTTCTAAAAATGTTGAAGAGTTCAATTTTTCATTGAAATTTGAGTTTTTTTGATATTTTGTCAATTTTTTCCATACCAATTACGCTAAGCCACATATCGTTCAATCGATCGATAATGTCTGAACAATGAAAAACACGCACATCATGTTAAAATGTGGTTTTTTTTGCCAGGGTATATTTTTGAAATTTATGAAAATTGGCTGCTTTTGCAAAAAATGAATGAGGAAAATGAACAAAGACTGTATTTTTGAGAACCATATTCAAGCCGCGAGAAATTAAATGACGCGCATAACAACAGAACTATGATTTAAAAGATGCCTCAACACTCACGATACACACTGTGACGAACATTAAATGTAATATATGTATATAGATTTGACTCAACTTATTTGTTCAGTCATAAAAGAATAAGAATAAAAGAAGTGCCAAGAATAAGGCCACTGCTAAATGCAGTCGAAAAATTTCCATATAAAATAAATTCGTCTGCATATAGCAGTAGCCGCTATATGCAGTCGAATAAAAAGAAATGAGAAAATGAAGCGAAAATCAATGTTAGATGGAATTATAGTCGTTTTTTTTTTAA